GTATATATATATATATATATATATCAAAAATCAATACAGAAATAGCAAAAAACTGTGCGAAGTAACCCTGTTTTATAGTGCTACTCTTTTTGCAAAAAATATATCCTATACCTATTAGCAACATTCTTCCACTAATTTTTTAAAACATAATCTGGACATTTCCTACTTAATGACTAAATACCACCACACTGTCACCATTACATTTGTTTTTAAACTACATAGTAATCTTACACTGATCTTCTGTGAATCAAATAAACTGATAATTAAATAATTAAAACATGTTTTACAATCACTGATAAGCATAATACTTGATAGTGTTTTCATTTAAAACATATGATTGCAACTAGAAATATTAGATAGCCAATTAGGCAATTTGTTTTTGTTTGTTGTTTGAATAGGAAAAACATGAAAGTAATATTTAATAAAGATTTGAGTAATAAAAACATTTTGCAATCCCCTACCATACTCACTAAGCAGTAAACTTAAACTTAGCTGATTTGGTAATGTTTTTCTTACATTTGGTGAACAAAGAAAAATCATGTATACAAACATTGCAACTCAATAAAACCATACCTGTTAGAAAGTAAAATGATAAAACCCTATAAGCCTAGTGCTTTTGAAAGGTGGACCTTTTTTCTTCAAGGGCAAACATATCCCTGTTTTCAAAGCTGTGTCTCATTAGTAACGACCAAACCACTTGATGTGGCACCACAAGTTTTCATAAACAAGGTCTGTACAAAAACTTGGGGAAATGCTTGATAATCAAGAAATGAATAATATACTCTCAAAGGGTGATAGGCTCTTAGTAAATGTAGTTATTCTTTGTGATAGGAAAAAAAAAATCTATAAAGAAAATGATGAGCACATTGTTTTGTTTACAAGAAAAACTTTTCTCCATGACTTACACTAAATTATATATTATATAAATTATAAATGTCAGAAATAGGCAAAATATCACTTCTAAAATATTTTTCAGTTAAAATTGTTGAAATATAGTTATAATCAGCATATAAAACTGACTTTTAAAATATATATATCCAGAAAATTATTTCACATTGCAAAAAATAGATAAAGCCATAGGAAATCATTTCAGACTTCAGGCACAATAATTTAGAATTAAGTTATTTTTCATTTCTAAACTTTGTACATGAAAATGTGTCTCATATGCAATCCAACTGCATTGTTTAACATTTAGAAACAAAAGAAAATCACTTAACAGTCACTTATTGCAACAGTACTGTGTACACTTTCCCAGACTTTTGAATACTAGTAATAAATGGCCTTATAATACCAAATTTATTTTCTTTATTTACACTATCAAGTGTTCCATTAAAACAAACTGTAACTAAATATCATAGAAATGCATCCATAAAGCTATAGCTGTAGAAGAGATCAATGTCAAGGTGGCAAACAAGTAGGAACAAGTGTTTCCATCGAAACTGTCAAGGGTCGTGATGGAGATCCTTTGACAGAAGGTAAAACAACAGATAAGTAGTAAAGAAGCTGCATAATGGTAAGATGAAGGCAAGTAGATTGAAGATAAGTAAGACAAAAAACTAAGAGAAAAAGGGGTACTACAAGCAGGAAGGACAAACTCTAGAGACTGAGGTTTGAGAAAAGCAGAAAGATCATGATCATTAGCTATAGAAAAAGTCACAAAGGCATGGACGTAAAGGCTCATACGTATCAGTGCATAGTTGAGACAGAAAAGCATCAGCAAATACAAATGTATGGTGTGAAGGTCCAAAAAAGAAAGTCAGAAGGCAGAGGATCATGAAGTAAAGCAACCCGAAACTCATAAAAAAACTACCGCAGAAAGAGAAGGAGTGTCGCATAACTCAGTAATCCAGAGTTGCAAAAAAAGAAGGTTGAAGACCCAGAAACATAGGCAGGCAGTGAGAAGAGCTTGTCAAAATATGTTGTAAGATGAGACAGGCTTAGCAAATGCAATAGAAAAGGACAAAGGACCCAGATTTGGGGTAAATAAGGCAAAATATAACCAACCACCTGATGTACAATGGTAGTAACATCGTTGGTGGACAAAGTTCCTCCAGTTGCCATTGAAACAGCAGAAGGAGAGTCTTGAAGTAGTGTGTCAGAGCCTGGGGTTTGTTTTGAATTTCATGCAAAGCTACACAAGGGCTATCTGCACTAGCTGCCCATAATTTAGCAGTGAAATACAAGATCGAAGGCAGCTAGTCATCACAATCAGACTGTATTGCCCCCACAGCTGAAAGATCGAGCATGTTTGCTGGAATGGGGATTCAAACCAGAGCACCTCAAATTGTGAGTCAAGCTCCCTAACCACCTGGCCATGCCAGGCCCAGAGCCTTGGGAAGTAGCAGAGATACCGATCTGAGAATGCATGGTACACAGCATTTTGAACATCTTTTTTCAAAAGTCAGCTCAGAATTGGTAAACATTTTTCATGGAATTTACAAAGATAATACTCCTAAAGTAAAATGGTATGATCATTGTTCAGATAATCATAAATTAAATATACCTGTCTTTTTCTTCAGAAGACTATATTTGTTACCCTACTACTAGTAGTACCAGTAGATGTTTCACATTTTAACACAGAATAGTAAATGCACCTTCCTCATCGTTCAATATTCAACTCGTGTATGTTTGACTTTTTGTTTTTCAATTTCCACTAAACGAAGCCTACTTTAACTTTTAAGCCCTCACAATAAGTATTAATATTATTGGTGTCTTTACAAATTAAGTCTCACCATATTATTATTATTATGCCTGGCTATATATTATATATATTGCTAATTTCAACAGAGACTGAATATCATATGCATTCAATAAAACGCTCGATTCTTAATGTTAAAAGATCAAAACACGCATGAATAAAGTTAAAATTTAACTTTAAAACAGTTTATATAACTTGTAAGTATAAAAATATACTTTTAAATACCTTGTTAGACGTTACAACTTACATTGTATTTTTACTTTTACCTTGTAGTTTAAAACTCTTTAACAGTTATTCTGCAGCTATCAAAAATATATTGTACTAAACTACTATTGATATTACTACTGTAGTCAACTGCTCTTCGTAATAATGCATTTCATTTTCATATTTAAAATATAGATTTACAGTTAAACTTTCTGTTTCAACTTTAAAATTAAAGCTTACTTAGCACATGATTCACAGGCATTCAACCATAACACTAAACATCTCCTGCCATAATCGACGTTTCACCTTTCGGCCTTCAACGACGTTCACTCTTCTAGCTTTCTATCTATTTTCGTTCCCATCAAGCTGAACAAAGCACATGCATCTGAACCCTAGCGGATAACTGAAAAAATTACTCATTTTGGGAAACAAGCATTGTTTGTATTTTGTTAAACTTAAAGCTACACGATGTGCTATCTGTACTCTGCCCACCGTGAGTATCAAAACTCGACTTTTAACGTTATAAGCTCTCAGGCTTACGTTGAGTTAGTGGGGAGCGAGAATCAAGCATAAAATTTCGCGGTATATCTGCGGACTTACAACGCTAGAAACCGGGTTTCGATACCCGTGGTGGGCAGAGCATAGACAGCCTATTTTGTAGCTTTGTGCTTAACTACAAACAAAGTACAAACAAAAGCTCTTCAGGCCAATTAGATATTAGTATAATTATACTTATTTTCCCGTCCTGTTCGCATCTGGCCATCCATCTGACTATATTTCCATATGTAGGTTTGCATGTTATAACTTAGTCTACAGAAGTATTGTTAACGTCGTTGTTAT